ATTATATTATATTATATTATATTATATTATATTATATTATATTATATTATATTATATTATATTATATTATATTATATTATATTATACTCTACTCTATTATTATACTCTGGATTTTTATACTGGTATTACTACCAGTATCTTTCAAACTAGTTTCAAAAGGCAGTTAAAAACGTGGCTATTCAAGCAGGCCTTCCCTCCAGTCAATTAAGATATTCTTATTCTTTCTCTTTTCTCTTTGAATCATGCCATCTTGGTACTGTGCTATTCAGAACTAATTATAATTGTATCTTTGATGATTTTATATATGTCTTAATTTTGTGTTTATATCCATGTAAGCCGCCCCAAGTAGACATTGTCTAGAGGGGCGGTTTTAAAATTAATTAATTAATTAAGCAATTAATTAATTAATTAAGTAAGTAATTAAATAGTTGAGCAACCATAATGACATAGATGACAGAACAGTCATATGTACTTCCTGATGAACTTTGTCAGAGCTTCTTGGAAGGTAAAAAGATATAGATAGATCAGACCAGAGAACTCTCTAGTTCAACAGGGGCAAGGAAGGATAACTATAGGGAGGTCTTCTACCTCCCTTACTGTATGAAATAGGGAGGTAGAAGACTCTATGACCTAAGAAACTGGGAGAAAAAAAAGTAAAAGAATCAGAGTGGGACAAAGAAAGCAAAACAAAAATAGAGTGTGGTCTAGAACAGTGGTTCTTAACCTTTGTTACTCAGGTGTTTTTGAACTGCAACTCCCAGAAACCCCAGCCAGCAGAGCTGATGGTGAAGGCTTCTGGGAGTTGCAGTCCAAAAACATCTGAGTAACAAAGGTTAAGAACCAGTGGTCTAGAGAAATGAGGAAAGATGAAAAGGCTGGTAGAAGTTTCATAAGAAGGTGAATATTTAGAAAATAGGCACAGGAGTGGTCTTGGCAGAAGACTGAAGTTCGTTTATTAATTTCACATCTCTCTTAACTGCATGCATCTAGTTCGGTATTAATTAATTTAGAGGAAAAGAGTTTAGCAATGTGTGCTTTCTGCAGAATCAGCATGATTTGAGTACATCAATTCAGTTGACTCAACATGATTTGGATGATCTCTTTACGAATGGTGCCCCTGTTACTTGAAATCTAAAAATGTTTCGTGTTCTTCTGGCAGATTCAACCAAAAAAGAGCCTAGATGGAATTTCTGGAAGTACCTCATTAGCCCAGAAGGTAAAGTTATAAAATTCTGGAAGCCTGAAGAGCCCATAGAAAACATCAAGCCAGATATAGCTGCTCTTGTTAGGGAGATCATTGTGAAACGGAGGGAAGACCTTTGAAGAAGCTGCTGCAGCTTGTGAACTCTGGGAAGGAATATCTCTGAAGCTCCAAAGTACATTCCTGTTCCATTATGGGATAAAATAGCCTGATGGTGAGTTTTGTGATGATAATCCACAGAACACTCTATTTCGGACCAGCTATTAAAGGTGCAGAGTGCAGGAGAAGCAAAGAGGAGCACGAGCGCACTGAAGCACTTTACCCAACTGAGGCCTGGATCTCTTCCGTTAAACGTGCAATTGGCTAATGAGCAGATGCTGTGAGTGTGTATTTTAAAATTATATAAGGGCATGCAATTGAACTCTTTTGGATTATAATGCCAAATCTGCCAGCTAGCCACGATAGCTAGGGGATTCTAGGAATTGTAGTCCATAAAAATTACTTTTTTTAAAAAAAACCCTGCAAAATACCTTTTATGAGCCAAAGAAAAATTATGGGCTACGATAGCTGGGAAGTTCTGGAAATTGTAGTCCAAAAAGTAACTTTTCCAATCTCCACTAGGATAACAAAAGCATCTCCTGGAAATCTGGTTGTTTCCTATGTCTTAAATTATCTGTGTTGAGTTCAGTGCACTCGAGAGCTATTTGCATGGTGTTATCCAAGTGCATTAATTGCACTGTTCCCGGAGGTTCGTTGGTCTTTGACTGACCTTTTTATATTCTCAAGTCAGGGACAACCACTTAGAATAACCCCAGCAACATGCTAAACTACACTAAGTAAACAAGGTCCTTAACATTGTTTACATACAGCCCATTGTTTCAACTAAGGCAACCTACGATGGCCTGAATCCTGTTTGAAGACCATCAGCCTAATTCCAAGAGTGTAAGTTTCAGCAGCAAATTGCTACTAGCTATGAAGTCAGATGAAATCAATTCTGAACCATCTCTGGAGGCAAAAATGTTGAAACTCAGGTTGTCCTACTCTGGGCCCATCATGAGAAGGTAGGATTCTCTGAGAATAATAATAATGCTGGGAAAGGTTGAAGGCAGCAAGAAAAGAGGACGACCAAATGCAAGATGGATGTATTCCCTAAAAGAAGCCAAAGGCTTGAGTTTGCAAGAGCTGAGCAGAGCTGTTGAGGACAGGACATTCTGGAGATTGCTCATTTATGTCAACATGAGTCAGACACATATCAACAACAATAAGTCAGGAGACAGGACATTCTGGAGATTGCTCATTCATGAGGTCAACATGAGTCAGACACATATCAACAGCAACAACAATAAGTCAGGGCTTGTTTTCCTTGTCATGTGGAAGTCATGCGACCTGGTACGTGATAAGAAAACCAAGCACTCACTTCTTAACTGACCACAATTCACTGCTGAAATTTACACTACTGGAGTTTGACCAGCATAAGTATGTAACAGGATTTCAACCAGTATGTGAAAATACTCCTAGGTACACGCTAACTACATAACAGACTTCAGTTGATCCAAAACTGGCACTGGGTCCAGTTTGTGCATAACTGAAATTCTTGTTGCCTAATCACTCCTGGTTGCTGAGTGTCCCAACAAATGCAGAATACACTATTATGGTTTCTTTTATGTTCTGTCTCAATTAGGAACCCCCTTTTATCACTTGAATTCTAAATCCCATTGTCATGTGAAAAATTATGATCACTGTTAACAACTTAGCATGCAGAAGGTAGCTATGATGTCTTGACAAGCAAAGATCACAATGCCTGGAGGGTCCCTTGGACAGATACTATTAGAAACTACAATTTGTTTAAATCAGGAAGCAGACCTTTCCTCCTTGTGCTCCCACAGGAGGAGGAGAGGGAAGGGAGCACCTTTAAGCCTGAGATTTGTTTACCAAATCCTTGATTACAATTATTAATTATTCCCAAATTAGAATTCATTTGAAAAGTTCTTTTTTGGGGGGCGGGGGGGACCACAACTCCGGGAATTCGAAGTGGCCATGCTGGCTGCCAAATGCTGGGAGTTATAGTATAAAAAAGTAACTTCTGTAAGCTTTGATTCAACTTCTTTCCTTGGTATGGCAGTAGAAAAGCGAGGATAGAGAAAAAGGGAGGATGATTGCCTAGTCACCTTTCTTTGAAGGCACACTGATCAGCCGCTCCAGAGGTTCTGTGCTAGTGCATTGGCAGAAGCATTTGCATCAACCAGAGCATCTCTTGCTTCCTCTGATTCCGAGTCAAGATTCAAAAGCTCTTTGCACATGTCTTGACTCTCACCAAAGACAGTTGCAGGTGGGGAGCCCTCGGACTTGAATGCTACTTTAGAGTTTAGAGAAGAAGATCTTGGGGATCAGATTGTCTCAAAATTGCCAGTGTCTTATTCCCTAAGCTAATCTAAAAACTTTCCCATTCTGTCCCAAGAATGAATTTAAATACGAACTTGTCAGACATGAAAATTCAGTGAGAACTTTTTCAGCCTTGAATCATTCCATCTGAAAGCATGTCATGCTGTAGAGCCTAGCTTTGTTATCTGCATAGTAGGAAATGGATGCTCTGTGGAGCAAATTGTGAAGCTTGTAAATAGTTTTATGAAAATGTTTTATTTTTTAAAAGAGAAAGAAGAATCCAAGTCTGGTGTGTTTCTGATACACTTATTTGGACATGCCTGATTGCTATCCACTGCTGAATTCACTCACTGCATTCTAGAATGTTACTCCTTCAGCTCAAAGGATGAATGGTAGCATCCACTTATGGGGATATCCATCTAGGCAAAATCTTCACATCGTCACAAAAGAGAATCAGCAGATTTAAGGAACCCATCAACCAAAAAAATATTTTTTAAAAAAATATTTTTAAAAAATTGATAAGGAAATACTGTATAAAGTAATCCTCTGAGGGTTGAACATGATTCGTGAATGCTAACTATTGGAGGGGGATGAAAGACTGGAAAGGGGCGAAATGACATTTCTTAGAAAAGAAAGCATTTGCTTCAGATCTCACTTGTATACAATATAAATGAGTTATATTTTGTCACACTTCATTGCGGGGGTTGGCAACTGTGGCCCTCAAGAAGTGTTTGGCCTGCAACTCTCATTAGCTCTGAAGGATTATGAGAACGTCAGTTCTAAAAATGTTGGTGGGCCACAGGTACCCACCTCAGCTCTAGTGTGACCAGGAAAAAGAACTGGATGCTACCACAAGGTATGAGGTGGTTTGATTCACAATGTTTGGGATTAGCTCCCACTCCACTAATATCGCCAGAGGCACCTCCTTCATTTTGACTCTCACCAGTGAAATCCAAATTTAGCAATTTTTTTTAAACTTGGAAGTGATTGGTTACAACAAAACACTCCTAGTGAACCCAGCCATCTTGTAAGCCCTACTTTCATGCTTACATAGCCCACCATAAGGGCATGTGATCTTTAAAGACTACATCCAGATACAGCATGTTTGGCCACTATTGAGGTCCCCTCTCTGTCTCTGCTGAAGTAATACAAAACATAATAGTATTTTTCTACTGTGTCTTGAAATTGGGATATTATCAACATGGTTCACAATATATTATGACTCCTGCACAAAAGAATTCCCCCATTTCCAGACCTCACTTACAGGAAACTCATGATTATCCAGATTCAGTGTGTGCCTGCAGTGCAGCCGTCCCATGTCAACGATGTCCTATACAAATAGATTTAAATATGCAGTAATCAGAGTATTTTGAATATTTTTCTAAACCATACTGTTTGAAAAAAATAGGAGGCTACAGTTGTTCAGGTATACAAATAGATTTAAATATGCAGTAATCTGAGTATTTTGAATATTTTTCCAAACCATACTGTTCAGTGCCATGTCTTAATGTTGAGAGAAAGGCCGTATAACATCTTGCTATTACAATGTGGTCTGTGTAGCATTTAAAAAAAATCCACCATATGAAATATTCTATAGGAAATCAGACCTCCAAAACTTTCTGCATTCCAACACCCATCAGTCCTTGCCAGTATGGCCAAATATCAAGGATGATGGTGTTTGTGGTTCAGCTGCATCTGGAGGGCCATGGGCTCATGGCTAAGAATTGTGAGCCCTGGCATCTAATTCAAGACTGCAACAGACCTCACATGCATCTTCCAGAGGTCTTGGATACGCTTTCTTTTTTAAATGTTCCCTTGGATACTGCGCCCATTATAGCAGTTGTTCCCAGTCTTGGGTCCTGGATATTGTTGGCTATCATCATCATCTTAGAACTGCAGAGCTGGAAGGGACCATACAGATCCCCAAATCCAGCTCCTGTAAAGGAAGTACAGCAAGAAATCAAACTCCCAACCAGCTACCTAAACTACTGAACTCTTGAGCAGTTGACCAACAATTCCCAGAATATTTCTGACCGTTGCCAATATTGGCTGGCTACTGAAGTCCAATAACTGCTGGAGACCCAAGTTTGGGAACCCTTGCACAGCAAGATCAAAAGAAGTATAATTCGAACATTTCTGCATTTCCTCTGCTACCTTTGAAGGTCCTTTGTGCTGCAGATAATGAGTTAAAATCTACTTAATCTGCTAGCCGTGACTGCCTTCATACAAGAGAAGTTCAGCTTCGGACCCCCAGTGCCCTGCCTACAGTGTTGGCAGAGAGGCCCCAAAGCCATTCCTATTTGTCCTTTCATCAACCAGAAATAAATGTACTTTAGTAGACAAGCCAGTTTGGAACGAATGAGTCAAAAACTAGGCAACACTGGCGAGTGTGGGAATAAAGGCACAAAAGCCACAGGTTCAAGCAGATATAAAGGTTACCATGTAGTGCAATTTTTCTCCAAGCTTCAGACACAGCAGAGTATATACCAGGGCCTTGCATCTGCTTTATGTCTTTCAGTAGGATGGGGTGATTGGCTGCTACTGCCCAAAGTTTGGAAGCAGTTTTTCACCGTGGCTAAAGTGTGAGAACAGCCTCTCATGAGATTGTGGAGCAGAGCATCTCTCAGGATACTTTTATAGGCAAGAAAAGTTAGTGCTTTAAAGGAGCTATGCGGTTCACTGTGTCACCTGTGCTCTCAGTGCAGTGATATAACAAGAGATGAATCAGTGACCACAGTAGAGGGGGGGGCGCAAAAATCAACTCTTTGCGGACTGCATATCATGTGTTACCCATTCCTACTGACTCAGTGAGGGCTACTGTGATGCTGTCCTATAGAGAGACATCTAAGGTATTTGCCTAAAACTGATGCAAACGCATGCAATAATGTGGAAGTGTATTTAGTTGCTGGTGTATGTACAACAGCTAACTAAAAGTACACTACCAAACCACTACACACAGAGATCTACAATAGTTAATTACAGAATCAAAGGAACGTGCTCAAGTGCAAGGCATTACAGGCAATAATAAACATTAGCAATTGAAACAATTGGAAACCTTCTGACTAATAAGAGCCTTGTTCCTATGGCTGTCCGGTATAAAAGTGAAATGAAGCAGGAACACAGTGTTTAAAGCAGAACTGTGGATGATAGCAATATTAACATTTACCCAATATTGTACATACATAAAAATGGGTTTATTTTTAATATGCAACCCTTCATAATATATATATGCTTGATTCTTTAAAATTAGAGTTGAAAGGAAAGATTATCTTAGTTCATGGAACTATTTGAGCAGGTGATTGAATCCAGACATACAAAACCTTTATTCATCTTTTTTAGTGTTGTGTTAAACAAATACGCCTGAAGAATGTTGTGAAGCTCAGTAGTCTCCAGCAGTTGAAAAGCATGAGTGTGTTCTTGAAAGCCTTGCTAGACAAATCCTCCTGCTGGTACGACGATCAAAATATGTGCCGTAGGCTGGCAGCCGAATGTCAGCTGGTGTCATTCAGATAATCAGCCAGCTAACAATACACTGCCATTCCACCACACACACACACACACACAACTTCATGGTACAGTATTTCTTTCTTGACAATCACCCATTTTTAGCCAAGTTGGCTGGCAAGTTCTGGGAGTCCAGCAAAGAGAGTTTTCCAGGCTCTGGAAAATATATATGACTGAGTCCTTCTGCAACTAGCTCCACCAAGCATGAGGTTGACCATTGCTGGGGGCAGAAAATATTGCAGAACCTCTTGTATAAAATAGGATCATATAAAAGAAAAAGTAATGAAACCTTTATAAACAAGCTCTTTCATACCCATCCGATTAGGCTGCAATCCTAAACTCATTTAGGTTACATCTGTCCCATTGACACCCTGCTCTGACATGGTCCAAGTGGCATCTAGGCTGATCCAGGTAAGAGCTGCAAGAACCCACCTCAGCGTGCCATGTTTTTCCAGATCTCTTCACCTCTGACTGCTGTTCTCACATTAATATTTCTTCAACCTGTTTTTCATAGTTTGGTGAAGAATTACATTTCTAGTGCCCGATGATTGCACATTTAGCAATTAAAATCCTTTCATTAGTCAAGCTATTTGGTTCTGACCACCCAATCCACCTGGGAAGCAAACAGCATGGACCGTCTCACGTTAGGATGGCATACCTGCAGTGTCCAGGAGGGGGCACACATTACTGTTGCCGTGTTTTGGAATGCATCAGTGTGGAGTGCAACCAGCAGCTGTAACAATGCAAGTATTCAAACAGCCAGCTAGTAGTGCACTGCCAGAGCGACACATTCCTGCACTCACCTCTGGTGCTACCTCTGGTGCTTCTTCCCAGTTGCAACCTAATATTGCATCTATACATTATAAATTGACTTATAAGTTAATAATAAATAAGCATACTTAAATTGTAAATCAGCACTTTCTATCTCAAGAAACACAATCAGTTCTACATCTGTTTTCACAGGTACCTTTACTTTCAACGTACCAGTGGTGCCTCGCTAGACGATGGTAATCCATTCCACTGAACCCGCTGTTTAGCGAAATCATCATCTAGCAAAAAGCAAATCGTCATCTAGCAAAAATTGGTTTGCGAAGCAGGGACCAAACATTGTCCAGCGAAATTCCCCCATAGGAATCACTGTTTTGTGAATCGCTATAGCGATCGCAAAAAGTCAATGTCTAGCGAAAAAACCGTCATGCAGGGTAACTGTCTAGCAAGGCACCACTGTATTGCTTATAGTAGCCTTCCCCAGTCTGGAACCCTTCAGTGAATGCATCCAGCTACATTCCCTTGTCAGCTTAGCATGGCCACACTGGATGAGGAGAACAGGAACTGAGGCCTAGCACATCAAAAGGACACCAACCTGGGGAAAGGCTGAGACCGAGAACAGGAAGTACTTTTTCATGGAATGAACATAAAGATTTGCCAAGAAAAGTTCACAACAGTCACTATTGCAGTTCCACAAACAGTTACCTTAGGAAGCGTCTGGGAACGTTGTTGTCTAATCCATCTGAGGTCTCTCCCAAGTGTTTTCATTATTTTCTCCTTTAAAACAAACGTATAAATATACAGTAGAAGGACATGGTTAACTTTCTAACAATCTAAACCACACAAATATCTGTTCTCTATTACTTCATTACAAACCAGGTTTTATATTTATTCAGATGTGCTGAACGTTCAGTCTTTCCATCATCATATCAGGCTGTCTCAGAAGGGAAAACATATCTGTAATGTTACACAGATAAGTGTCCCAACCTAACAAGCTCAGAGGTATTAGAAAAGAGAAATAACTTTATCTATGCTGCAATCTAATAATTTTACCTATAGGTAGGACCCTTCCACGCACTCTTTTTAAAATTTACTAGGATGGCAGCAATTATTTATTTCTCTTTTTTAAAGGACTGACACATACACCATCAAAATAGTTTTCTGCATTGCTCTTATTTCTTTCAATCCAGATCCCAGGAGTGATTTTGACAGATATTTATTCAGAAATAAGCCACGCTCTATTGAATGAAGATAATTCTCAAATACTATGGAAAACACTGACACTTCAATTTTTGAAGTTTTAATTTATTTCGTCAGATTCCAGGTAACAAATAACCCATTTTAAGTTTCTGTTAAAAAGCAGAGCTTAGAAAAGTCATTGTTCCGGACTGCCCCTTTCAGCATGCTCCAGCCCACTCAATTTTACCAAGTTGTCAAAAACAAAGAAGAAGAAACCCAAAAGCAAAGATGAGCTGAGCTGCGGTGATGTATGTGGCAAGAGGACCGTAAATTTACCCACAACGTTGCTTCATCCGTCTTGACCTTGCGTGTTGCAGATTTTTCTAACTTCCACTCCATCTCTGCTGAGAACTTGTTATATAATTGTTCTCTTCTCTATTTTCTGATGAGCCACCCACCCACCCCCACTAGACGGAAGCCCTCCCCTTAGAATGCGAAGAGTGGATATTTCCAGATACTGTAACTGGAAACTCTAGTTTGGCTTGCTGCTTTCCTGTAATGCCCCACTTGAAGTGGAGGTATCGTATATATTCCCCGGTCTCGATTCACTCCTGTTCCCCTACTCCACAGGGAGCCGGGAAACCTCCCGCTGCGTTATAGCCGATTTCCCGAGCCCACTGCAAGCGGGTCTGCGATGGAATCATTTAAAGAGACAGAACCAGCGGCAAGTGGAGCGGGAATCCCTTGTCCTGCCGCCTGATTGGCTGCCCGGTCTTGTGACGAAAGGAGGTTCCCTTCGTTGGAACGTTGCTGCGCTCAACGTTCGCCCGCCGCGGGGTTCCAACCCCCTCGCTAGCTACCGACTCTTCCTCTCT